GACTCTGCGCCCGTTTTTGTTCTTCTGTCAATTCAAAAACTTTCTTCTCCAACTTCTCGACAATTTTTGTATTGTCCTCTGTCTTTTTAATTCTTTCCACTTCGTTCTTTTGCACTTCTTGTTGAAGACGAGTCATTTCAATTTCATCATTTTTCTTCTCATTGACGTATTTCGCATTTTCCACTTGAAGAGTTTCAATCTTTTTAACAACTTCAAGACTCTTCGTCTTTTCACTCTCCAATTTGGTATGAAGTTCAGCCAATTTTGTGTTTATCGTTTCAATCTGCATTTGTTTTTCTTTATTTTCTTGTTTCAGTTCATTGATTTGGCCTTCATACACTTTTTGTTGTTCGATGATGTTTTCCAAATTTTTGATCTTCTGAGTTTTCTCCAAAATTGTTGTTTGGAGCTTTTCGATGTTCTTTGACGCCGAAATCACTGCGTCTTGCATTTTCTGCATTTCCGCATCTTTTGTTGTCATTTTTTCCTCCAATTTTTGTTTATCTCCAACTAGTTGAGACATTTGAGTTTTCATCTGTTCGAGCGAAATAGTAAGTTGGCACTTTTCTTTCATTAGAAAGGCATATTTAGAGCTTTGTTCGGTCGTTTCCTTTAACAGTTTTTCGATAGTTTCATTTGCCTTTTTGTTTTTTTCCCGTTGCTTCTGGAGTTCCGTAGTGTTCTCAGCTATTTGTTTCTCGAGTACTTCATTCTTTTCCTTAAAAAGTGAATTGTCTGTTTTGACTTCTTTCAGTTCCGCGTTCAGTTGTTCCTTTTCCTGCTTCAAAGTTTCATCTTCTGATGTTTTCCTTTCAAACTCTGTTTGGAGTTTTTTGAGTGCTTCAGAGACTTCTTTGGCTTCTTGTGTGTTCTTTTCATATGTTAAAAGTTGGTTCTCCAACTTCCCAATTTTTTCTGTTTGGGCGGCGACCTCTTCATGAAGTTTGGTATTTTCTTCTTCAAGTCTCTTTCCCTTATCGACGAGTTGCTCTTTACCTTCGGCCCATTCTTTATTCCTTCTAATTAAATCAGAAATTTCTTTCGCTCGTTCTTCAGTTGTTTTTGTTGTTTGGGTGTTTAACTCAGACATTGTGACGATTGAATTTTTGAGTGATATTTGTTGGAATAAATACTATTTAATATGTTTTTAACAAACTTCAAAAGAATTATTAATGTAATAAATCGGGAAATTTGAGATTTATCAAAACGTCATTAATAGTTTTTCTTTTTTTTTCACTTTTTACTGAAATGATTATAAAAAATAATGCACACTTTTATTGTAAAAAAAAGGGTTTTTGTCAAATTGTTTTGAATTTTTTGTATTGAAGTTTTTATTAAAAATAAATCATTATTTTTAATGAACTCAATGTTCATTAAAAATACAAATGTATTTGTTAAATTGTACTATTGATTTTAATATTGTATTTATTATTTCCATCATTTAATTTCATTATTATTAATGATAAATTTTACTATATTGGCTATTAATTCAGTTTGGCATAAAGTAACTCACTTTAACTATTCAAAATTAGATATTTCTAGTTTTACTATAAAACAAACTATACTCATTAAAAAAATTATATTTAGTATATCCATAGTTTAACAACTATATAAAGTTTGTAAAATTTATTATAAAAATAAAAATAAATTAACTATATTCATAAAACTCAAAAATAAGAAAATAAAATTAATGGTAAAGAAAAAAATTATTTGGTACAAATATTATCCAAAACAACAATATTAAAAATTTGACATAATTTACAATTTTAATTTTAAATTAATTTTTTTGAGTTGTTGTAAAATCTCGGTATAAACTATTATACAACGAATTTGATGTATATATGTTTAAATTTCAATCCAAAATTCTATTATGCCAAAACAAATACATATTATTTTATTTGGTGGAATCATTTTCGTTGTTAGTATGAAGTTACACGTTTAAAAGTTTTAATGTTTTATTCTAAATTGAATAATATTTTTCATAAAAGTTTAAAATTAACAGTATTTTTTATGAATCTTTATAAAAAAAATCAATAACAAGTAATAATTAAATTATTCTTTATTTTACTTACATAATGGTTGTAATGTTAAGGAAATACAATGGGTTCATTCTGTTTGTTGTGAGATGAAAAAATATTATGATAAGCAAGTAAAAATAAGATAATTAATAACACTTGTATATAATTGTTAACAAAAAGTTGCTGTACAATATTTGTGGATAACGATGCAATGACTTTATAAAAAAGTATTATACTATGACAAATTTTTTAGCATTTTTATTGAACATACAATATGTCACTATTATTTAACATTAGTTCCAATCAGAAATTAAATTATTTATTTATTAATATTTTATTAAAAAACATATCAATAAAAAATATTAACACAAATGTTTATTTTTATATATACATTCAAATGTTTTGTAATGCCACCAACTTTGATTTTGTAATCAATCAAAATGTATACAACTTAGATACAACTTTAAACGTGTAAAATTATTCATATATTTTAATCGACTTTATTTTTTAAATCACATTTCTAAATAATTAACGTAATTAAATTTTCATCATAGAAATTAATCAATACAACCCATTTAATTATTTTCATTGTTTGTGTTGTCATTAATATTTTACATGATATTTTGGTTATAAACAATTCTCAGCTGTTTAATGTTGTGTTCATCATACATTGTAATTAGTTATTATTCCGACATCTCAACATTTAACACGATTAAATTGTTTTTATATTAAGTTGTGTATGTAGTAAAGGTGTATTTTATTGTTATCATGTCTTTGTTATTGGTCGTTTTAATGTATGTTTTATAGAAAGTTATAAACAATTAAACCAGTTGTTTGGGTTATGACAAACGTATGCAATGGTTCTAGATGACGAAAAACATTTTTATTAATTTGGTTTTATATTATTCAATGTTTTTACTTTAAAATATTGTTTGTTTAATTCAAATATCTTTAATTACAAAACTCATTTATTATTTATTTAATTTTTTATTGACTGTTCAAAACAAAAATTAATACATTTTTGAAAATGTAATATAATAAATTCAAATGTGTAACAACACATTCATTTAATTGTATTTGTATGGCGATATTTTTCATGTTGACAACGATATAATTATTGAACACAATAAGTATTTTTAAAATCAATTAATCGATTTGTTTTTATTTTTTTCACCTATGAAAACTTTAATTTAATAACAAAAATAATTTAAGTAAGTCAAAATGTTATTTATTTTTGTTTTTTCATTACAATCCAGATATTAATTATTTTTATTAATGGCAAATTTGCCCAAATGGTCAAGTTTTTGATTGAATGAATAATTATATAGCAATTTAAATCAAAACTATATTTTATTATTTTGAATAAAATTTTTTTATTATTTAAAAAACCATTGAAATAGTAAATTATTTTTTAAGTGAGTTACTTTTATGAAACTAAGTCAAAAAGCGAAGTAGTGAGTCATTTTTTGACAAGTGAGTTACAAAAATGGGGAATGAGTTAATAGCCATTATATATGAAAAACTTTGCCTTATGCTAAATTTTTATTTAAAAATATTAGTAAATAAAAACTATTCTAATGAATTAAAATTGAATGGATTTAGTATTTTTTAATTTTTAAAATGGTTTTGTTATAATTAAATTAGATAATAAAAGTCTTGAATAAGACAAAGTTTAACATCAAGAAAAGTGACCATACTATATATATAATGTGTTAAAAATAACAACTAAAAGTTGTTTCATCATATAAATTTATAAAAACGCACACCAAAAATTATATTAAATATCATTAACAGTATAAAGTATATATTTGAAAAAAAGTTAATATTTTTATTCATATCCCAACAAAAAAACAAGTACATGATAATTGGCGTTATTTCAAGTGTTAAAAGCACCTAAATAAGAAAAATAATTAAAATATTCATATAAATATATATATATATTTTTCTAAATTTTTATATTTAGTTTAAAAACTTTTCAAATGTTTTTAAATGTTTTTTTTTCAAAAACCTTTTATTGTTCAAATAAACTAACTAAAAACATTATTTTTATTGACTCCAAACCTATAACAAATGAAAAGTTAAAATATACATAAGACTGTGTTTGTAGCCAGTAAAACATATATATATATATGGGTAGTTATATAGTTTTTACTAGATGATTTTTCAAAATAAAAAACGTTTTTTATTATTATTTTTTGTAATTCGAAAAAAAACAAATTCATAATTATATGTTTCAAGTAAAATTTTATGATGTTTTTAAAATATAAAATACTACACAAAAAATATTAGATTAATAATAATTTAATTAATAACATTTTAAATTTAACAAAAAAAATCATCAGAATGAAAAACAATTATTAGTCACTTGGAATAAAATGAGTTGGAAATAATCGAAATGTTTGACAACGTGTTTATTTTTTTATTAAAATGCAATAATCTTTCGAATGTTCTAGGTATTTTCTTACAATTCAATTAATTATTTTGAAAATATTATCGATTTATTTACTTTTATTGACATTTAATTAAAATTTTTTCTGCACTTTTTGTTTTTTTGTTTTAATTGATGAAAGAAACAATCATAACCGATATTTTTAAATTTAATACTACAGTGTTTTAATTCAAATATATTTATTAAAAAGATGTTCAAAGTTCAATTAATTTAATTTTTTCAAATTTACATTATTTATAAATAAAAACATATAACATTTCAGATACACACTAATCTATACTTACAACTAGTGTTTTAAAAATTCTTACAATTCGAATTATTCATATCTATAAAATATAATTACAATATTATTTAAATTTGTTTTTATCAATTATTTTGAATAAAAAAGTGTAGTTATTGTTTTTACCCCCTTTTTAATATCATGACATTAACATTTATTCAAAAATGAATGCTTTTGGTTACTAAACAATATTAAAATATAACTGAAATAATATAAAAGCATGTTCAACTTCAAAATCATATATGTTCGCTTTACTTCTTCTTACTTTAGCTTCAGCAAAATACGCAATTTCTTCGAATGATGATGGATCCATTGCTGTAAACAAAATTGGCCAATGTTACTATGTAGACCCCAATACATACGCCAAAATAGAAGAAGATGGTGATAAATTAAAAGGATTTTCTTCAACAAAATGTGGTGATTGGATTGAAAACCCCGCTCCTTTAAGTGATTACAAAACCCAAAGTGATCTGCCAGAGTATTATTACGTTGAATATTATTATATTGATGCTAAGAATTGTGAAATCAGTGAAAGTAAAGCTCATCCATTAGAATTGTTAAACCAACAATGCACTAAAAACAAAGAAGATTCTACTTCTCAAAAAGCAGAAATAACAGACAAAAAGATTAAATTCACATATTATAAAACTGAAGATTGCACTGGAGATGCTGATACCACTAAAGAACCGGTAGTTCAAGAACTTGATAAATGCATAACAAACAATAATGAAAACTCAATGTAT